TACTCAAGTCTTCTTCGTCGCCCGTTTCGACCCCGGCTTCCCTCAACATGGCAACACCTTCTTTGAACTCCAGCCTCAATGGAGGATCCAAGAACTGAAACGGTTCAGCTGGGTACTGCTTATTCACGGCCGCGATTTCCTCGGAATATCTGATGAGAAAAATACATCACAACCCGAATCATGTCAATGTCGGCGAGAATTCACTGAAACATGTTTTCATTTCACTTCAACATCTGACCTTGTCGTCTGAAGGAAAAATTCTGATATCATTCCTCGGAACAACAACTACAGTATTTGGCAAGCGAGTACGGAAAACCTTTCAAACTTTCAGGGCAAATTTCAGCGATTCACTAACTCGACTGACGACATGAAAATTTTAAAAATGTTCTCTCAGGATGACACACTTGTTTCCCTCTGATTGTTATCACTTTAAAATACAATAACTGTTAGATAAAGCCTCTATTACTTCGTGCCCAGGCCAAGAGTCTCCGAAATTTGCTTCGTCTTCTCCCAGGCGAAAAAAAACACGTATGCCCTTGATGTAGCCAAATATTTGGACTTGAGTGACACGATCACCTTTTCTTCAAAATTAGGAAGAAAAATGGTGTTGCACGTCATAGTCAGATATAACATTTAAAAAAAATGATATAAGCTTAGGTACGTTCCACACTTAAGAATACAATGAAACTTTTTGACAGAACCTGTTTTGCACCGAAGAATTGAATTTCTGTCAAAATTTGAATTCGAATGTCTCTCATGTTTGAAATACTGCATCGCAGTCTTTTAGTCACAAAATTTGGTGCACGTCTTACTCGAGGACAGAATTTCATCAAAATTTTAGGGTGAAATATTAGACGGCACGCGGTATTTGAGAATGAAGGGTATTTCACATTCTATTGCCTTTCTTGGGGCTTGAGTTTTGCTATAAAAGCATTAATCCTCAAGCTCTGGCCGCGGATAACTGAATCAAAATTAATCTTCGTTGTTCTGACTCGACGGAACCCAGAAAAACATTTAGCGAAACTGATTACATGTACTTACTGATCTGCTAGACCGCGGAAAATAGTATTAAACATCTGTCCAATGACGTCGACGACTTCGTGGTAATGGTAATGAAACGCCATCTCGAGATCGAGACCGACGAACTCCGTCAGGTGACGATGTGTGTTGCTATCTTCTGCGCGGAAAACGGCGCCGATCGTGTACACTTTCTCGAAATCCGCCGCGATCGCCATTTGCTTGTAGAGCTGAGGACTCTGCGCCAAATAAGCAGAGTTCTTGAAGTAAGTCACTTCGAAGACATTCGCACCGCCTTCTGAAGCAACAGCGATGATCTTCGGTGTGTTGATCTCAACAAAACCCTGGCGCTGAAGTGCTTGACGGAACAATTCGCAAACCCCCATTTGTATCCTGTTCACAAACATTGGATGAGAAATCACATTGAGAAAAGATGACACTAAGAAATTACGAATAACTGGTTATTCCTTCTCTATCCTGGATTAAATGGCTCCCGGTAAATGACTGATGCACAGTTTGCACACACATAGGAACACGATCTAAATTGGTTGATAAAGTGAAGTACAGTACTGTACATGGATCTACAAAAATCGCAGAAGTAATTCACGGAATTCCACTACAAGAGGCACAATCATCCACGTAAGCCAAAATAGAACGACCAACGTGTGGAATCAGCTACCAAATGATATTCTTCGCACAAACAGTCCCAGGAATTAACCATTGTTCCACAGTCGATCAACAAAAATCGCCCTAAGTTTCATTTGCACTATCTTGAATTAAATCAAAGAATGCACATCAATGACAAAACAGCGAAAATACCTGAAAATTGCCTGATTCGCAGGGGTGCGAAGGTCCAAAACGCGGTTGTCAAGACGAGTGTCTTGATTAACTCGGATGCTCGGACCATCGCCTTCTTCGAGCGACGATTCTGAGCGAGCTGCGTCTTCAATTTGCAATGGGAGCACGGGCTCCGCTGCACTCACTACAAATGCTTGCTCAACGTGGAGCTCCACTTCTTGCTGAGAACAGCTAACGATTTTCTGATCCGTTTTCCTCACAACACCTTGCACGTCCAGAAGCGACTCTTTCGTTACACTACGAACAATGGTGAACTTTAGGATCTCATACATCGCCTGAAGATTATGGTCGACTCACTTACTTCGAAAGAAATTTCACCATCTGCTTCGAAACACTCGCAGACACCATCGCAAGACACTGCACTGAGAAGTGCTGCTGGCGTAGAACGAAGAAGCACTGCTTTCCTGGATTGAAATATTTGACCTCACCCGCAAAAATGCATCTTTATCACTTCAGATTTTACCTTTACATCGACTAGTGTGGAGCCTTCCTCGGACCCAAACCGTAGTTCCGTCAAGATTCGGCACGAGAGAACCGATCCTAACAAGAGTTCTATCTGGCTTCTCGATAGATGTTATCAAAGGCAGTACTCCATAGCGACCTTCGGATATATCAGGTTGATCACCACCGTCTCCTTGTGCGCTTGTCTAC